AAACCAATACACAATTATTAGAATTAATATAGATACACAAAAGATCACATTGGAAATCAACAGCCTAAACATACACGTTTCACAGAGAACAAATGATTACAAAACTCAGTCCTGTATAAAAAAAGAACCAATCAAAAAACAAACAAATCAAACAAATTCAAAACCCAAAAAATGTTAAAAAAAACCTAGATATCCTTCCATAAAATAAGAAAAAAAAAAGCCAAAATTCCCTCAAAACAGTTTGGGCGGGATTTGGAGGGCAATTTGATTGGCCAAATCTATGGGCTTTATTATATATAAGACTAGTATTTACACCCGTGCGATGCACGACCATATATATAATATATAGAATATACAATATAATATAATAAAAAGATAATTTTTTTAGGATAATATGAAGAGAATATAATATATGAAAATCTAAAAATTTTGAAACGATAAAAATTAGTAAATTACAATTTTATTACACATTACAAAAAATTTCTTTGTACATAACATTTTTAGTTATACTTAGAATTGGTACATTTTCGCCACAAATCAAATATGAGTATAGAAAGTTACCCGACAATTAAATAAGAATTAATATTTAAATAGGTACTTAACTAAAATAATAAATTTTTAATACAAAGTATTCTAAAATAAAAATTATTAAAAACATCTTAGTAAACAACAAAAGAAATCTATATTCTCATTTATCATTACACCAAAATCAATTAATCTATATATTAATTGCACAATTTGGTATTGTCATATCTTTGAATAACATAATATGATTGGTGAATGCTCTATGACTTCATTATAATATATAGAAGGATAGAATGATATATAAGGAGACAACGGTGTAGTTCTTTCCAGATATGGCGCCTACGTTCTTTACGGCCCCACTGAACGTCAGGTGAGGCACAACCGCACCTAAATAAAATTTGTATGAAGATACTCACAACTACGTGTTTATCTACCGTATATGGTAGAGATCAATAAAAATTTCTATCTTATTAGATGAATATAAAATTCAAGCTGCATGTTGATAGATATTCTATCTAAGCGTTTATAGAAATTAATATCTCCAAAAAAGAGGTTCAATAGCAAGGGTTAAAGAAGAAAATTCATTTACATGAGTTTGAAACTACGAAAAAATGCAGATCTGGGAAAAGATAAGTACATATATTTTTATTAGTTTTTTAACAATTATTTTTTAAATCCATGAATCTAATAAATTATATTTGGATTTTAGAGTTCTAGAAATAGTATTTTCAGAAATACAGTATAAGACAAAGATACTTATAATGCATTAAACTTTTATATTCTAATAAAACAGTATTACCAAATTACCAATTACCAAATATAATAATAATAATAATAATAATAATAATAATAATAATAATAATAAGAAGGGATAAGGGTCAAATAGACCCTCAAACTATATACCAAAGTGCAATTAGACCCTTAAGCTAAAACAACATTCAATTAGACCCTTAAACTTGTTAGATATGTGCAATTAGCTTACTTAACAGGTTACCAAAAGGTAAATTACAACTTTTCTTACATGACATACATTTTTTGTGAAACCTTATTTAAAATTTTTAAAAAATATATTTTTAAAACTAATTAAAAAAACTTTCCATCTGATAAGAAACCTAACTACGTCTTCTCATGAACAACCTCAGCTCCTCTAATCATCACCAAATTAAACCCCGACCTTTTTATTTCATATTTTCTCCATCTTAATTCAATTATTAGTACTGATTCAAAAAAAAAAATAAAAATCAATTATTAGTACAACATAGCAAGCTTTGCTACTGTACGTTTCTTATACTGCAATATATATATATATATATATATATATATATATATATATATATATATATATATATATATATATATATATATATTTGCAGTATAAGAAACAGTAGCATAGCTTGTTCTAGTGGAATGAACTTGTTCAGGATCGAGCGAAGAGAAACTTGAGAGCGTTAAATCGCAAGAAGATTCGCAGATGATGATGGATCAAAGGAATCGCAAGCGCATGATCTTGAACTGGGAATCAGCCAGCGGTCGAGGATGAAGAAGCAAAAGCTTCGTCAGGTGGAAAATTTATTATCATGAGAAGACGTAGATCGAGTTTTATCTCAGATGGAAAGTTTTTTTAAATTAGTTTCTAAAGATTAGCTTTAAAAATAATTTTTTTTTTTTTAATTTTTGAATAAGATTCTACAAAAGATGCATTTTATGTATTAAAAGTTGACAAGTTACCTTTTGATAACCTGTTAAATAAGTTTTTTGCACAAATCTAACAAGTTTAAGAATTTAATTGGATGTTTTTTTAATTTGAAGGTCTAATTGAATTTTAGTATATAGTTAGAGGGTCTATTTGACCCTTATCCCTAATAATAATATAAGTAAGCCGTTTCATCCCGTTCGGCCATTCCCATCTCGGTCTTCACTCTAATCCATGCATTCATTTCCCTTCTCTTTTTCACTAATCCATCCATTCATTTCAAGAAGCTTCGCTCAAAAATCTTCGCTTTTGTGCTTTCCGTTTGCCAGTCAACTACAACACACCATATCACAGCTCCACGATGATTCTCGTGAATCGCAAGAACGTATGGTTTGTTTCTCACAATTTTTTCAATACCCATCTGAGATTTGTAGATTGCAGAGCATTTCCCTTAAATTTATAGGTCGAATCTTGCATAACAAATAGTAGCAGTTGCACCCTAGTTGATATAGTATATTTAAGGCATGAAAAAAGAACTGAATTCTGATGCGAATGATCTGTTTTTTAACAAATAACAGAATATTTATTGATTCATTTGAACTTAAATTTGTCTTTTTTTCCTCAATACGAATGTCTAACTTTTGTTACTTAATTTGATTGTAGGTAATCCAATTTTAGGACTAAAAGATTCAATGAAGCATTGTGAAAAGTTGTTCAATCTGTTCTTTATGGTTTTATATTGTCATGGGATTTCCAGTGTAAGTTTTTTATTCTACCAACATAAAGAGTTAAAACAGTCACTAAATACGTAATTATTTATATCTGCTTTAGAAAAGAAGAATATTGACTGCAAACGGAATATAATTTCAATAGAATATGGACGAAAGAAATAAAAATATGATATCATTCACTGGAAAATCAAATCTGATATCTAATAACCGTAAAAATATGATTTAACGCATTTGAGAAGATAGAAGCACAGTCCTCAATCTCTACCTGTCAGTTTTTTTTCTATCACTATGAATATTGTATTATTTAATCCTACCCAGAGTTCAATAATAAATAACTTTTAATGGATTGAGATAAGGTATTAGAGAAATACCTTTTAATGGGTTGAGCAAACTCGTCCAGATTGATGATGAAGAAGATGAAGTGAAAAGTGCATTATCTGCCCTCAAGCACAAAAGATTGATGGTACTGGAAATCATGAGGTAAACATATATGTTTTGGGCTATTTTCATCAAAATTATTATAAAGATAGATGTTATAGACTATATATGTATGTCATATAATTTATCGGGTCTTAAAAAAATAGTAAAAATTGAAAGAAACAATATTAAACTCAATATTGATGTTTAATGAACTTACCCCCTGAATTAGCTTATATATATGATTAATATATTCATAGTTTTATATAATATATCACTACTGAAAATTATGAAATTTCCGACCACCTGAAACTGATCTTAAATCAAGTCAAAAGCCTTGTTCCGACCACTTTTGGTATCCGGAAAAACCTTTGTTGCTATTTCCGACCACTTTTTGGTATTAACTTGATTTAAGATCACTTTCAGGTGGTCGGAAATTCCATAATTTCTAGTAGTGTATGTAGATAGATTTTAAATTTCACCAATGGTATAATTTTCTATTCTTTGGCTATGAATGTCTCTTGATCTCAATGGCTATGAATGAAATGAAAGAAATGTGTTAGGGATCAAGATACATTTTAATGGAAGAAATATGTCTGTTGAAATTTAAAAGAAATATTTTACGAAATATATATTGAATATATATATATATATATATATATATATATATATATATATATATATATATAATCATAGTTTATATAATATATGTAGATAGATTTTAAATTTCACCAATTGTATGATTTTCTATTCTTTAAAAAAAAAAAAAGAGTTGAAAAAGGATACAGAGATTTACCAAATGTGCAGGTGTAGTGCAACAACTCTTCTGGATATGGAAGCTTCGGCGGCAACACCTCACGCAGAGAATATGGGTCTTGTTCCTCCTCTTCTCGAGGCTCTGTTCTCTACACCATTGCTATGCAGTTGCAGAGAATATTCACTTTCGTTCTTTGTAACTTGGTACGGTTTGTATTGAAGAGAATGTGATGTATATATATGTGTTTAGATATAACTAAGGGTAATAGTTATACTTTTTATTATATTACCAATTATCATTTACCAATTAAAATTAGGGTTACCATTTTACATTTGCTTACCAAAAAATTATATATAGATACCTAATTTGTATTTGAAGAATATATTTACCTAATTTATAATGAATAATATATAATATATAATTTTTATATTTTGATAATTTATTAAATTAGAAAATTATAATATTACATAAATGCCTCTAAGTTTTGGGGGGAAAATTTGGGAAGGAGGATTTTATTTTTATTTAGATATAGATATAGATATAGATATAGATTTGTAATTGTGAGACTACTATGCATGTGTTGACAGTATTATTTTATTTTATTTTTAAAAAAATAAAAATTAAAAATAAGTGCTACTTAGAATTGAAGTAGAATGATCCAAATTAAAGTTCGTTCAAATCCTTATCCTAATTGTTTTGTCCAATTCCAAGAATTCTAGAACTTGTATTAATATTCCTTAGCCAGTCAGGTTTATGAATCCTATAGCTGCATGGTTTCTTGTCTCATATGTTTGCAATAAATTAAATATGAATAATTGTTGTTCAACCAATTTCATAACTCCATGCACGCATTGCATACGTCCTCCCTTTGCATGTAATGGCTCAAATGTCAAAAGCAATGCCGACGGTATCCGATGCATCACCGTCGGTGCCGGAAGATATGGTGGCCGAGATCCTGAGCCGGTTGCCGGTGGAATCATTACTGAGATTCAAGTGCGTCTGCAAGGAGTGGTATCAGCTCATCCAACAAGATGACTTCATCGAAAAGCATCACCGCCACGGCGCCATGAGTTTCTACTATCATAAAGAATACATAAATCAACCCTTTTACTGGCCAGATTGGCGGATTCCTCCGATCCATAAGGATGCGGAGTTCACGTGTATTGATATACAGAAAGGGTTAGTATTAGAGCAAGAGCGCCGTGAAGTTCCCACGGAAAGGCTTCGCATAAGGAATCCGGCAACGAGGCAAACGGTATACCTGCCGGATCTCCGGGTCGGCAACGAACAGCGGACTTGGGTGGTGGCCAGAATGTTCTTCGTCGCAAAAAGCAGTAAGGAATGTAAGGTGATAAGTTTCTCGGATTTGGAAGAATCAGTTTTGTTCGGACGATTTAGAGTACTAACAGTGGGCGTTGATGCAGCGTGGAGACCTCTCAAGAATTCCCCACCAAACTCCATACACTGCATTAGCAAAGCCGGCGGCCTTGGCCGGCACCCGAAGATATACGCTCTGAGTATTGAAAATATTTTTTATGTAGTCGCAATGGACGGCAAAGACAGGAACATTCTGTGGGTGAACTCAGAAGACGAGAGCATTAAAACTGCTGAAATCCCAGAAAATCTCTTCTCAGATTGGAAATTTGTGATGCCAAGAGAATGGAATTCAAAGCTGTCTCTTTTCTACAATGGGGGAATCCGAGATCTAGATCAAATCAACATTTGTGTTTTCGTGAATAACAACAAGAATGAGTGGACTAAAACCCAGACCGTCGATCTTAAATCATTCATCCGTGATTATCCAATCCCGTTCTTCACAGAGGAGAAGAAAATATGGGTGAGAGGGATTAACGGGAAACGGTGGGAGGTAATTTGGATTCCAGATGTAAGCTTATATGGTGTTGTTCCATGGCGTATGAAGGATGAACTAAGCATTAAACCCACAGTTTTGCAGCTAAAAGGAATGGAATCAGACAAGTTTGATGAAGCAATCGGCGCACGTTTTTGGAAGGAAAGAGATATGCCGACCACCACCTCCCAAATTATTTCTGCAATTTCAATCCAAATTAAATCTCTGATGTGAATTCCTAAATTTAGTCATTCAGATTTTGCACATATTAATAACTAGATTACATGGTGAAAATAGAATTTACAATTGACCGTTATCCTTTTTTTTTTTTTTCTCAGAAGTTAGAGACTAAACTATGGACACTTTTATCGAGTTAATTCCAGCAATGGTCCTCCGACTATTGTGATTTTTCAAAATTAGTTTCCGATTTTCAATTTGGACGAAAAGGACATTTGACTTTCTAATTTGTTCCACCAAAGGTCCTTCTGTTAACAATCCGTTTCTTGGCCCTTAGAGGGCAAATGTGTCTTTTCGTTGCTTTCTTCTTCCTCTTAGCCTAGCAGCCTTGGTTTATTTTACCCACAGAAGCAGTCAAAGAACTCCAGTGACATTGTTCTTCCCACATTGACATTATGTATCCATAGATCTGGAGATATTGATAACAAAATATAAATAATCTTGGAGATATTGATCACGACCGACCCAACCGCCAGTCTCGCCCACTCCCTGAGCGCAGCCGCCACTGCGGCCATGGAAGGGGTTCTTGGAATTTGTTTGAACTTTGTATATACCAAAATTAGGACTTGGTCATTGCAAGGCATTGTAATCGAAAGTTACCTACGGACAAACCTTGTTGTTGAAGGCTATAGTTGGCAGTAGATATGAATTAGTGCAATTTTAACTCACAATTAAATCAAAATCACTATCCAAAAAATGCATTAATTACATATAGTTAAATTCTTCTGCTAGATGTCTTATCATCTGACTATGACACTGGAATCAGCAAAAAATGCATTAATTACATATAGTTAAGGTCTTTTGCTGCTAGATGTCTTATCATCTGACTATGACACTGGAATCAGCAGAAGTACGAAAGTCGAGACTTAGAAGACCTTTTGTGAAGCAAATACTAGGTTGACTAGTAGATATATTTTTGACAGAGTCAATACGAGAAATTTTCTTTGAACTTTTCTGAAAAGAGCTGTTAGGCACTTTTCCCAATGACTCCTAACTACAAGTTATCTTCTGAAAATTAAAAGACATGCTTTTTGGACATGCACCGATCAATGACATTCATCTTTATACCAATATAGCCAGGAGATTTTGGCTCTCATTCTCCCGCCCAACAATTAAAGATTTTCCATATATTTTAACCTTTTTATTTTTTTTTAGCTATTTTAGATACTATGATTGTTTTTGTTGGTTTTGGAATCCTATTTTAGAGGATAATCATTCATTTGATTGGTTTTGGGGATGGATTTCGTTTTCCGATTAATTTTTTCTAGGAAACGTGTTATTGTATCTATTTTTTCCTTTTTTTTTTTATAGCTATTTTAGTGGGCATGAGTGTTTTTGTTGGTTTTGGAATCCTATTTTATAGGATAATAATTCAAAAGATTGGTTTTGGGGATGGGTTTCGTTTCCCGATTTCTGTCATAGAGGAAACATATTATATTTGAATAAGAAATCTAGGTTTTATCTACTAAGCTAATCCTCTAATCTTCTAATTTTTCTCTTTCTATAAGTATTCTACTGCTGCGACTCTGCATTATCTCCCTCAGCCGGCTACCAGGTCTTGGAACTATCAGCTCTTCTTCTTTTTCACTCAGCTGTGATGATTACTTACACAGCATAAGTGATGGCTTTCAGTATAAATACACCTGTTTATACAAGCAATTGCACATTGCAACCTTTCAATATTAGTCTATTCGAATCACAAGCTCTTCTTCTTTGATGGCTGGTCAGTTTGTTCTTGCTTCTCAGCTCACTCCACTGTGCAATAGGAAGGCCATTCGAGTTAGGCTGGTGCGAACATATGCTGTTTACGAAAACAGAGAAAACAAGGCGATTAGCAGTCTGGAATGTGTTTTCCATGATGTAGAGGTGTAGTATTTTCGATTTTATTAACATAAAATTTCTTTGTATTTGCTTATGTTCACTACTTTCCAGTTTAATACCTTTGAATGTGTTCATTTAGGGTGTGTTTGTTCATTGTACTATACCTAAGGATCAAGTGCAAAAATGGACCAAATTCAAGGAAGGTTGTGTTTATGGGATAAAGAACTTCCTTTGCATTACTAACTGCTTGAAGTTCAAGACAAGTAATCATCGTTACATACTTAAATTTAAGCATGATACTATGGTTAAGGAGTACAAGAAAGTCAGTTTTCCTAACAAGACTTTTCGTTTAAAATCGATATCTTCCTTGGTTAGGAAGGATGATATTGATGAGAAGATGCTCATAGGTATATTCTTATCTTTAAATACAGACTTTTTAACTTTTAAAACTATCCTTATTTAATACCTAACTATTTGTATTTGTTTTTCTAGATGTGATTGGAAGGGTCACTGAAATCTATTCTCCAGTGGAGAGGGTTGTAGCAGGACAGAGAGCTAGGCTTATTGATTTTGTTTTGGAAGATATCAAGTGAGTGTACATGTTTATATTACATTTCTATGAGTCTAAAAATTTTTATATTACTATTCTTTTTAAAATAAAATTTTCTTTTATTTCTTTTAGTCAAGATCAGATTCAATGTACTCTTTGGGGGGATCATGTGAACAGTTTGCTTCCTATTTATAGCTCAACAGTCACTGAAGAACCAGTGATTGTTTTGCTACAGTTCTGTAGGGCAAAGATCTTCGATAGTATGTGTTCTCTTATTCTTCTACTCCATTGCTCAAGTTTTATTAATTTATTCTTTTATCTTTTAGTGGCATTATCCTGAAATTGCATATTCTTTATTTCTAGATAGAGATGTGCACATATCAACTTCATTTAATGCAACAAAAATTTGGATCAATTAGAAAATGCCAGATTTTGAGGAGTTTAAGAAAAGTTTAAGGTATAAATTATACATTATGTTTCTATTTTTAAATTCCTCAGTTCTTCATTGAATCTATTTACTTTTATTCCTTCTATTCCAGTCTGTCATCTGACAGAACTCCATTAAGAAAGTTGGACTCAAGCTCTAGACTACCTGGATTTAGGCCAAGTCGTAACAGTCTGAGTGATGATATTGTTGTAACTTCTCTAAGTGAGATTTACAACAGGAAGGAGGTAAAAAATTATTTTTTCTCTTTTATTATTATTTTTTTTTAAAATCCAGATGGCTAACTAACTTCTTTTTTTGCTATTACACAGCTATGTGAGTATTGGGTGGCTGTTAGGATTATGGATGTTGACAGTTCAGATGGTTGGTATTACATGTCTTGTAAGGGAACTAACTGTGGGAAAAAGCTAACTCCAAGAGAAGGTTTGATGTACTGCTCTAAGTGTGACCGTAGCTGGCATGAGGGGGCTGTCAAGTATAAGGTGGTTGTTCGTGTAACCGGCAGTACATGTGAAGCACCTATGCTCATTTGGGATAAGGAATGTTATGATTTGGTTGGTGTTTCAGCTTCATCCCTAAGAGAGAAGTATGCTGAGGTGAGAATGGTTTGTGTACTCTAATTTGGGATTGGTAATGCTATAGATGTTCCTATGTTTATTTCCTTAAAATTGTTTTTTCTCAGAATGCAAAAGGTTGGATCCCACCTGAGTTGCAGTCTATTTGTGGGATGCCTATACTATTTAGGATTTCTATGAAGAAAGATCAAGTGGACAGTCTCAGCTCTGCATTTGGGGTGTTAGGGTTCTGTAGACAAGCTGACATTGTTTCAAAACACTGTGGGGTTATAGACTGTGATTTAGATGCAACATAACAAGCTCATGAGGTTTAATTGTTTTCCTATTTAAACTGTTTTCTTCTTTATAAAATTGAATAACACTATGTGTATTATTCAATTTTTTTCAGGATACATTTGGTCTGGATGACTTTGGTGATTTTGAAATGGTTGGATTTGATGAAGGTGGTTCTTCTGGAAATGTTGCAAGCACACTTAAGAGGTCTCTAATTGATGAGTTCAATCAGTTTGATGACTCTAAGAGACTAAGACTTCAGTGATTAAGTTGGAAAAAATGTGATGCAATTGCGGTTTCTATTCTATTTAGCACACTGAAGAGGTCTCTAATGGATGAAGTCAACCTGCCTTCCTACTATAATAGACCTACTATTTCAGTCTATAAGTTGGTAAAAATGTAATGCTTTTGCGGTTTCTATGCTATGTTTTGTAATGTTTCCCTAATGGGGTCAGTCTATGTACTACTTTCCAATTATGTCTTATGTTTTGGGACTCTAAGGACAATATGAATATTATGTCTACTTATTTTAGTTTGTATTTCTATTCTCAAGTTTATTTTACTTATATTTCCAGTTTAAATAGTACCAGCTAATGGGGTGGTTTTAGTTGTACATAACTTTTCATTTAATTATGCTTTATGAATTATATCTTCATTTGATAACTCTATCTAGAATTAGATAATTAAATACATATTAATGAAGTTATAACATCATAAGTAAATGTAAAATCTTTTGTATTATTTGAAAACAAACTTACTTATTGAGTCTTGCTAGATATTTGATGCGAACTGTTTTGTTATACTGAGATCCAGATCCAGATCCAGGTCTCTTTGTATCTGAAAACAACTGCAAATATAAACTATCAATGTCTTGCTACTTTTTAAAAAAAGGTTGTCTATCTGTGTACTAAATTACAACTTATGAAGTAAAAATAGAAGTATTAATAAGTTAAGTTGGCATGATCAAATAAAATTACAATACAGTACTAAATTTACTCAATTAGTAAATAGATTTCAATCACAAAATGACAAAAGCTTACAGATCTAAGCTGGAGTGATGGCATGGAGTATTTCAGGTTTTTCAAAAGGTTCTAGATTAGTTTTTTAGTACACTAATGACCATGAGTTACAAATCTAAGTTGGAGTCATGATTTCCTAACTTAGTGTTGTATTAATAGTATCTGTTGAACCTTTAATCCTATTTATTTAACTAAACTTAGTACATGTGTTATACATTCAAAGTCAATAGTTTATGTAAAAACAGTTTTAAGCTATAAGTAAACAGAAAAAAAAAAAAATCAGATTTTAGTGTGAAAGAATAGTACTAGGTTAG